TGGATAGTGGTTAACCACTAACCACAAAAATCAATATTTTGCTACCCACACCCAACCCACTATCCATAAATTGTGGGTATGGTTACCCACAAAAAGTGCGGTTTGCAGATTACCTGCAATCCGCAAACCAAATTTTCACCCCCTATGGGAGATAACAAAAGCACTTATGAGGAGAGGCTAGGGAGGCTACAGTGCTACACACATTTGTGTTTGCTAGAAAACCACCATGAGCAAACCTTGGAATGATCTTTTCCACCTATTCCTTTAAAAGCAATGACAAAACGGGGTTTTCGGTTGGGTTAGATGACAAATCCCTCTGCCCGGTTTGTTGGGCGGAGTTAGAAACGCTGGAGCATTTGTCCTTCTTTTATCCATGGCGATGGTCGATGGAGCTTTGGCACGCATTCGGTCTGTGAGGAATTCGGATAGAGTTGATGGGTTGAACTTTGCAATGTTTTTTCGGTTTGCTCTTGGGCGTATATCTACTAATGAGGAGGTGATCATATTGATAAAAACTTGAATTGGCTGAAATGAAAAGAGGGTATAAGAAAGAACTTATATAGAAGATTGGTCGAAAAATATCAATTCCCAGATGCTCTTACTCGACGCCCACGGGCAAGCTTGTTTAGAGAAGAAGAGTTTTTTTTTCTTCTTCTGTTCAAACAAAAACGAACATCAAACCCGACTACTAAACTAAAGGCTCACCTTCTCTAGAGAGCTTGTTCCACCAAGTGAACCGTTCCCCTGAGAACCCCAAGCTGAGATTGAAAGAAGAATTGCTAGTCAAATTTGTTGCAACTTCCCATCCTCTTTGCCTACTTACCGACCTAAACCACTACCCCCACCTTCCTTTCATCTTTGCTCCCCAACTTCTAAAAAGCTACTTCTAACCTCTCCCTTCGCCCTCGTATCGTTGGGGGCTGTTGGCCCTAAATCTCCTTGCATAAGTGGGAAAGGACTAGGATGGGACTCCATTTGCTAGCCTCACGAAAAATTTAATCGCCCTCACGAGCAAGCTCCCATTCTGATCCCTCCCACCAACTGGAATACAAAGCTTGTCCGGATGAAAGAGGAGCAGGCGAAAGTGGCATGAGAAGTGATGACGGAGAAGATATTCTAGCTATTTATGCGCCTTTTGATCGACCTAAACAACATATATGAATCCCCTCCATCCTTTGAGTTTCGGTCTTGCCCCCGTACTCCCCAACGATAGGCCTTCTTTCCGCACAACTTATCATGAGATTAGACCTCATGATTGGTTGTAAGCTTAATGAGGAATAAATTCAAAATCAATTGTGCTAGCTCAGTTTTTTTAAGCTTGTTTTGGCGGATTTGGAAGGCTCGTAACTGGGTAATCTTTGATTTGCATGGAGAGTCTATTCAGTCAATAGGTGAATGAATAGCACCCAAGTCTGACACCTGTCGGGGTGGATGTCGCGGCAACAGGGAGCCGGGTGATCGATGGATTCATTCAGAGGCCAAGAACAGGGTAATCATGATGGTGTTCCTTTGATGGTGTTGTTTGTGCAGGTTCTCATTCATCAGCGGAAACAGTGATGAGTGATGACTCTAGCTTGGTGATAATGGCTAAGGGCGTTATGTCCGAGGCGGTGGATGATCCCTATGTTGATGAGCTGCTTTCCTTGCGAGTCTAAAAATTCCACACTTTGATGTCGTTTATACTAGGAACGTAACATAGTTTTACATCTCACATAAATTTTTTATGATATGATAAATAACTCACATCCAAACCAGAGGACAACCCATCATAATCAACAACAACTTCTAGAGGAACAATTTCAATTTCGATATAGCTTTGATGTGACGATTAGAGTAGTGTCCCACGGGGCGCTTGGGTGGGTACTTCAACGATGTTACTATTAATACAAGCACGTTACTGCTAACTCTTCGACGATTTAACTGTAGTCGAGCTACTTCCCCTTCAAGATGAAATTTCAGCGTGTAATAACATGGGTCTCACTCGGCCTCTTTTAATAGGGATGTCAAAGTAGTTATTGATAAATGTTTGGATTCTGCCTCATCATACGCTATGGTTGGCTGTATACTTATTGAAATCTGGTTACTGATGGAACTCTCTGAATTCGTGTATTTTGTTCGTTGATAAGAATCATGATAGGGGCAACTCACTTGATAGCCCGGTAGCCCGTCATGCCCCATAGGCCCTGTTCACTTCCATTTTTGTTTCCTGTTTTCTGTTTTCATGCTATAAATTTTGCAACAAAAACGAGAAAACTTGTTTACTTTTCATTCTATTTTCTATTCGTTTCCAACTATGAAAACAGAAAGTGGCAACTTTCTATTGTTTTCGGAAACGATAAAATGTTGTTTTCACCTGTTTTCAACATCTATTTTCTCGAAAACAGGAAACAGAAATGAAAGTAAACAGACCCTAGGTTCCCAACCAATTAAGGGATTTGATTTTGTTGCTTGCTTACAGTATCACATGCCCATTTAGTTATTGCTCTTAGGGGTGTACATGGGTCGGGTGGTCTGAATTTACTCATTTTAATCACTCGTTCCTTACACTATGGTTTTGAAAATACTAAACCCAAACTCACCCAAAAAATAAGAACCTGGTTTGTTTATAATTGGATTGGGCGGGTGGATGATACTTCTAAGTAAAAACTCAACCCAACACAAAAATGCAACTATTTTACACTACAAAAAATATAAAATAACGAATTAAAATTTGAAACAAATAAACCGAGTTGAAAAGTATCCAAATGTATAGATGTTATTTGGATTTTAAAGAAATGCAATCGGCTTCAACATATGTCTAGTTTTACCCACAAATATTTGTTGAAAGAAGCTACAAGCTAGAAATGTTATAAGCAACGCATCCATAGTATGTTGTTCTTTTAAAATTGTAACAAAAATATTATTTGAACTATAGCCCATATTAAATCATATCTAAATTTTAAATTGAAGAATGCATTAGGTTAGGGAGACAACAAGAGAAAAATATGATAAAATATCTTGATTTTCTCAAAAACATGCTTATATTACGACACAAACCAAAAGAAACAGATTGTATAAAATAAAACCTTCATCCAACAAGTAACCTTAATATTAGCGACAAATACAAATGCATTGGGTCAAATTGGACATATGAGTTGGTTTGCAAGTCTTTTTGTTCACCCCTACTTTCTCTGAATAGTGCTCGGCAGCTCACACCGGCTTTATTTGTGCTATTCTAATCTCTTGTTTGTGGGATAGAATGTTTAAAAAAATTTCGCCATCGCTGAAATATGGAGAATCAACAACAAATATCCTGTGATCCCCCATATGCCTCTAGTTGCTGTCCCACTCCCGCTAAAACGACACTTGTGTTGTTCCCTGCCTTTCTACCCCCACTGTCTAAGTCCTAACTTCCTAACTCCAATTTTTTTCCCGTCTGCTTCATGACTTGTCCCCTACCACCACAAAAAACAACTTCTCATCATATCAGATTATGGGATGGCCTGCTCCATACTATATTTTACTATATACGCTAATCCTGTGGCGTTCTAATTACTTGTCCAAATCCCCATCAGAGATCATGTTTTTTGGACTATTCTAAATATGTGGTAACTTAAGTTAAGGCTCTCAAGCTTAATTAGAGTGGCCAACCAAATTTAACTGAAGAGGAGAGGGAGAAGAAATAGAAAGGGAATATTAAGAAGGTTGTAGTTGTAGTTTAGGTGATTAAGGACTCGTAATGATTTTTAAGGTATGAATTTGGTGTTCCATTGAGAGCCCTGTAAGTTCATAATACATTACTTGGGTTGTGTTGTGTCATTGTGATGATAAAAGAGAGCGAGATTAAATCTTTTATAATGAGTGAAAGTGTATTATCATTTAGTGAAAAGAGAATTTTTATTGAAAGTTGGCTCAAATTCAGCTTGTTTAAACAACATACTTTACTTTTCACAATACTAGTAAAAATATTGTAGATTTATTTATTTTGCAAAATTATGCATTTCCAAAACACATAATTTAAATCCTAATAATAAATGGCATGTAACTGACAATTAATCTTATTTCCACCGTATCAATATTATGATGTATGACTCAAAATGTTAGTTCAATCTATTGTTGGTTGCTCCCTTATTGGCGCAATTGGTTGGACATTGATGATTTATTTGATTGACGACACATAACCATAGATTTAATTCTCATTCATCGAGAACAAAACAAAGGGGTAATTAGCATAAATGGTCACAAACCTTTGCACTTAGTACAAAACAGTCACAAACCTTTAATTTGTAACCATTTGATAACAAAACTTTTTTACTTAGAACAAAATGGTCACAAATTAAACAGTGTGACCATTTCATACCAGTTCAAACTTTTGTTACCGTGTCGTTGCAAATTAGACTTTTGGTGACCGTTTTGTACAAATTAAGTTCAAAAGTTTGAACGCTCAATAACCGTTACAATTCACTGTAGTTGAATGGTGGTTTTGTTAATGTATGTGAATGATATTATGTTGTTTAGGATAACAATGAGAGAATTCAATGGCTCACAAACGGGTTCCAGACTGCTTTTTAGTTGAAAAACTATGTCTACTTTCTTACTTTCTTGGTATCGAAATTGAAAGATCAACTGAGGGCATTCTTATTCGGCAAAGCAAATATGTCGATGAAACATGACCTGACATCTTATATGCCATTCAAGTGGTTAGTGTCATATACTTAACGAACAAACTACCCGACCTCAAAACATGACCAACATTTAATTTGTAACGATTCGGTAACAAACCTTTGCACTTAAAACAAAACTGTCATAAATTAAATAGTGGTGACCATTTTATACAATTTCAAAGTTTTGTTACCGTATTGTTACAAATTAAAGGTTTGTGACCATTTTGTACTAAGTGCAAAGGTTTGTTACCATTTATGCTAATTACCCCAAAACAAAGATATGATTACCCACCTAAAGCAACGAAATAAATTGGCTTCATTTCCGTACCTTTTCCTCCCTTTTCTAGGGCCATTTCTTTCTTTTCTGTCTCCCCCGGAAAGGAAGAGCTTCCACTTCAGATTTCACCTCTCCTCTTCCGAAAAATATCACAAACCAAAAAGCTCCCCTCCCTTCTGTTCACGAACAGTGATCACAGTAAGCTCCGGCGCACTATTCACGATTACGCCTCTCTTTCTCTCGGCCCTCCACCATTCCTTTTCCTCGTGAGAAGCTTCTCTCGCGAGTTCCGTTCTTTGCGCGTGAACGGAAACGGGCACGCGTTCGGCCCTCCGTCGGAGGAAATGCTGTCGGCGGGAGCGATGGCGGCGGAATGTTGAGTAAATCGACGATGGCGGTAGTAGCGTTAGGGTTAAGAATAGATGGGAGTCGGAATGGCCAAGGAGGCGTCGAGGTTTATTAGCTCGATACCGCCGGCTAACCTGGCGCTTTTACAGCAACCGAACGGTAAAGTGAGCACCACAGGCGGCGGAGGAGGAAAGGTTCAGAGTGTTCTTCATCAGCAGCAGCAGCATAATGAGTGGTGCTGGTGGCGAGGGAGGTGGAGATCCTCGGCCGCACAGGGACTGATGCAGCGGAGGAAGATCCCGTGGTCGTTAATCTGCGGCTTGATGCTGTTCGCGCTCGGGATGGTTTCGCTCTTCACTGGACACATGGCCTCTGATCTCGAGTGGTACTCTCAGCGACTGGTAAAGCGTAGCCTCTACTCCAGATTCGTAAGCTCTGCTTTCTCTAAAACATTTCTCTGAATTGCGCTTCTCTGTCGGTCTTGAGAATTGTGGAATTTACAGTAATCAGGAAGAAGCAAACCAAATTTGCTCTTCTGAACGTTTCTGGTAGCTGTCGTTTTCTTAGTTTTGTCGCCACTGACGAGGACATTGATTCGATTGATTTTGTAGAGTGTTATTCGACGAGAGCCTATCGATATTTGGAGATCTAAGTACTCGAAAATGTTCTATGGATGCAGTGAAAGAGGCCGTAAATATGCTCGTAAGTTCGCTTTCCCTTCATTTTCATACCGTAAATGCACAGAGAGGACCTGTTTCAAGCTCAAGAGACTGACATGGATTGGTTTAGGGCTAAAATGGATGATTCGTTCCGTTTGTTTTGTGAAGTTTTGATGAATTCAAACTCCTGAATATTGCTGTGTGTTCACCTGTAGCTGCCACATCTGAACGGAAATCTAATGGATATCTTCTTATAGCAGCAAGTGGAGGACTAAATCAAGAAAGAACAGGAGTAAGTGAAAATTGTTGATTTCATTGCAATGTTATCAAGGAAATTTGGCAGAAGCAGTCTTAATCAGATAGTTCCTATCAAAATCGAGCAGTCATGTTGTTCATTATTAACTTCGTTTGACTGATGAATTGCACTGTATACTTTTGGACTTCTTAGATGCTGCTGTGAAAGTTCATATTATTGTAGTTCCGACCAAGCAGACCATTGCTGAGTGCTGACTTAGACTTTTTCTCTTTCCAGATAACCGATGCTGTAGTTGTGGCGAGGTTTCTTAATGCTACATTAGTTGTTCCTGAATTGGATCACCATTCTTATTGGAAAGATGATAGGTGAGTTTGTAATTGAGTTATCCTTGTATTACAGTTTTAATTATTGGCTGCCTGCTCTATGATTATACACTAACGCATTGCTTGATGTGCAGTGATTTTGTTGATATATTCGATGTTGATTGGTTCATCTCATACCTTGCAAAAGATGTCACAATTGTTAAAAGAGTTCCAGATAAAGTTATGCGATCAATGGATAAGCCTCCATATACAATGCGGGTACCCAGAAAGTCCCCACCCGAATATTATATGGACCAAGTTTTACCCATATTATTAAGGAGACAAGTAAGCTAACTCATTGACTGATGAGATGATGATTTTTATAGTACTTATGGTTTTTTTTTATATTCATGCCAATGATGCCTGGAGCAATTTGTGGAAATGTTTGCAGGTTGTGCAGTTGACAAAGTTTGATTATAGGCTTGGCTATGAGCTTGATGAAGAATTGCAGAAGTTGCGGTGTCGTGTTAACTATCATGCTCTGAGATTCACAAAGCCAATACGTGAAGTTGGCCGAAAGATTGTTATGAAAATGAAAACAATGGCTACACGTTTCATTGCTATTCACTTGAGGTTTGTTCGTGGAATCCCTTGGCATGTCTAAGAATTTCTGTTATCAATTGTTGCTTATCTAGTTTCCAAGCGTTACATGAATCTCTATCTGTTATCAATTGTTCGTGGCAATCAAACAATTATTGTTAAGAGTTTTAGATCTTTAGCATGATAACCAACCTCCCATCCTTAATCAGTTGCTGATGGCGAGAAATTCAGGATCACTTCAATTTCTTATTTCTGGAACTTTGACTTGAGTAGGGTCATTCCGACTTTAGAAAGTCTGACATGATTGTAGATCTCATTTCACCAATTGGAAACTGTCAGCTTACATCATATGCCAACATTCTATGAGGTGGTTGGGTAACAGCTTTTTCAAGTTTGTTCTTCTTTATTTATTTATCGTTTGCTATCTGCCCAATGCCATGAGTAATTGAATGAGCCACATGCATAACTAATAGTTGTACTTCTGCATGCACTCTTTAATGGTTGCCTAACCACTTTTGTTTATAGATTTGAACCTGATATGCTTGCCTTTTCTGGATGCTACTTTGGAGGTGGTGACAAAGAAAGATTCGAGCTGAGTCAAATAAGAAAAAGATGGGACACATTGCCGGTGAGATTGCTGTTTTAATTTAACAGATCAGTTGGCAGTACATAGTTCTGTGCTACTTTGAAGATCATATTGGACATTGTTCGTTGGAAAATTTGACATAATAGTGACTGCATTGGTGGCGGATGTTCTGATTTGTTAGCAATGATACTTTAAATGATTCAGGATCTAAGTCCTGAAGACGAGAGAGCGAGAGGGAAATGTCCACTCACTCCTCATGAAGTAGGATTGATGCTTCGTGCATTGGGCTTTGCTAATGACACATACCTCTATGTTGCATCTGGAGAAATATACGGAGGAGAAGAAACCCTACGACCCCTTAAAGAACTGTTCCCGAACTTTTACACCAAGGAGATGCTTGCGGACCAAGATCTGAAACCATTACTTCCTTACTCTTCCCGCTTGGCTGCTGTGGACTACATTGTCTGCGACGAGAGTGATGTCTTCGTCACAAACAACAACGGAAACATGGCTAAGATTCTTGCTGGGCGAAGGTAAGTAATGTGGTCAGCTTTTCTCTCATCTGCTTATCTTGTGTATTCTAATTTTATTAACACATACCCATGATGCTTTAAATCAAGTAGGGTGTCCTGCAGCAAAAGGTTGTTGTGGAACTATTCCTATGATTCTATCTCATTGACACAATCTGATGATGTTTTCTTTCTTTTGAATAATCTGAATCACAGGAGGTACGCAGGTCACAAGAGGACGATTCGCCCGAATGCTAAAAGGCTGAGCGCATTGTTCCTGAAAAGACAGAAAATGGATTGGGAAACCTTCTCCAAAAAGGTAAAGTCATGCCAGAGAGGGTTCATGGGAGAACCAGATGACTCAAAACCTAGTAAGAGCGAGTTTCATGAACACCCTGCTTCTTGTATCTGCGAGAAGCCATTCACCGAGGACGGTAACTTCAAGGAAGACCCTACTTACTCACAGAACCGGTCGTCTCTCAACCCAAACGCACGGCCGCAGAAATAACGGGAATCCGTCTTCAAGAGAGGCTAAGGATGATATTGAAGGAAGATCTGATGCTGATGAAATGACACGGCAGGAGTAGCAAACTATTTTTTGCCAAGACACTTATGATTCACACATTCCAACTCGACATACAGACAACTGTCGATACCAGCGAGAACTCATTCTCATCTCCATGAGCAAGAGACTACCTACTGAAAACGCTGCCATGGTCTTCCTCTTCTGCTGGTGCTTAGCTTCTGTAGACACATTAGAACCTCGAAGGATGATTGGTTGTACAGGAGAAGATTTTCAGTGAGTTGCAACTGTTCATAAAATTAGCTTTTGGTAGGCAAAACGTTGTGACGCTTGCTACAAAGATTGAAGTTAGTGGTTTATTTTTCGGGTTCTCTTTGGAAGTGAAGGATTAGTTAGGAGGCACTGTTCATCGATGGAAGGGGAGAATTGGACATGTTATGGATGGGTAGTTTGTAGCTTGGCAGAGTATCAATATATGCTCTTCTTGCTTGAGAAATGCCTCGTCAAAGATGTGTTCCTCATAGTACCTTCTATGCTTAAATCAGCCATATACATTGGTTTCGCCAACTTGGTGCTCGGTGTGTCGCCAAATCGTTAATGGTAGAAGCATTGTGCGAGTTGCCGAATATGCCCAAGCTACTCCTACAGGGACAATTCTCACATACAAATGCACACTATTAACGAGCGAGGCAACAGCAGCCTAAACCTAGTCAAATCGTTAATCAGAGATATGAACATCCTATCCTAACTCCCCACCACCACCAAAACCAAAGCACTTAATATCTTTACATAACTTACTTAACAAAGGGAGAGCAAGAATTCTCCCCCAAATTCTCTAGCTTACAACCTTTCTTCCTTCCTAATCATATAGAGTATACACAACAGGCTACAAATTTCTATTCATTTCCAACTCCCCCTCCTTTATGCTTCAGCTGAATCTCCATGTTCCGCAAGTAGAGTCACCAACCGGCTTTATTTCCACCTATTCCATAGCAAGAAAGGTTTCAACCATTGTTATTCCCTGCACCCCAACCATACCAATCGAAGTAAGTTCGAGAACTTTCAAATCTCAAAGCTGAGTGAAGTAAGCAGCTTCACCTCTGGCAGCAGGCCTACTTTTGTGGCTCTTATCATGTGACACAGATGGTATTTTCGAGACCATCAGCGAGCTTTGCAGCCCTTCCAGCAGCTGTAGGCATAAAGTACGAAGGATGTGTCAAATTCGACATTTTTGGCATTGAATTAGAAAGTAAAAAAAACTTGTTAAAGAAAGAAATCAAGTGCATACTCTTGATGTTGGCTGAATTCGTCGGTTGGACCTACGAGGAGCCTCAGCGCCAGAGGTTTCTTTTCCTAAACTAGCACTGGCCAGAGCTTTTCTCTCCTCCACTTTGCCCAACTTACCCACACCTATGCCAAATTTACCTTTACTTCCCCTTTCACCTCTCGCATTTACTGTTGACGGTTTCTTAGTCGCAACAGGACCCGGTTGTCGAATAGAAGAAAACACGACAGGAGCCCTCGGCGTCTCCTCGGAGCTAGAAAAGGCTCGGAAATCAATGGAACTCTGTTTTTCAGCCCCACTCGAACCTTCTCTGCTCGCCGTAGAATTCTTTGTCTTTGCATTGGGATCTGTAAATGCAGCTACAATAGCATCACCAGAGGTAGCAGAACCTTGGGCTTGGGGATGACTGCTCGTTTTCCCAGGCAGCTTCGGAACCCTGGGCTTGGGCATGACCGATCTTTTCTCGGTGGTGTCAGTTCTCGAAGTAGTACCACCTCTCCATCGGGGAAATTTTGATGATGGATCATTAGTTTCGTCTGCCATTTTACCACCACGTGATCCTCCAACATAATGCTTGCTCACTTCCATGAACTTCCTTTTCTTTCCTGGCTTTGGGACACCAAACAAGACCTTTGATCCTTTGGCCTGCAAACCGGTTCGAGCCATTCTACTAGCATCTCCAGTGCTCTTGCCCATGTTGAATGTCTTTTGTTCAGATGCCAAATCCAGTAATGTCGGCTCAGCAGGTTTAGCAGACTCTTTGTTGACGTTTTCATTCTCGGGTACTTTGTCCATGTCTTTTGATTCTACTACAGGGCTCCATATTCTTGGTCGTTTCTCTTGCGGCGTATCTCCCTGCAAGATAGAGTAGCTAGTCAGCTTCGTACACTAGCTAGAAAAGAAGTGGTAGCAAGAACAAATAAGTAGAGTGAACCAGGACCAGATGGGAAGGCACATTCTTCTCTCTTGAATTGGAGCATTCGATCCACTGCCCATCAGTCCATAGAAGAGAAGGCCGAAGATGCCATGCTCGTAGTACTGATGTTTCTCCTTGTACTGCAGCAAAGAGCAGAGCAAGTTTGTTAATGAACAATATGCTTTACTATGACTATGATAAAGCGAATGACAATCTTGGTAAGTGGTTCTATAAATCCATACCTGGGAAATAAACCGTTAATGTAGTGTCATCTTTCTTCTTTTCCGTGACAACCCCTTCCCACCAACTGAAAGGGCATCAAAGAACGAAATCGACATTACAATCATAAAATGAAAAAAAAAGTGTTCAGTTGACAATTCATTAGTTCTGGAACCAAACTATTAATAGGAATACTACTAGATCGGCAAGAAATGGATCTAACAGCCAACTATGTCTGTTCCTCATTGACGATTGACAGTCAAAATTCGAACAACACAGCTGAAATATTTGCATAGCCTGCAGCTGTGAGATATGCACTAAGATTCTACAAATTAAGTTCACTAATGAGCATGTATCGCGTTAGCAGTGTACATTATTACCTTTCTTGCATCCATGCATCCACTCTGTCACCAACTGACCAGTTATATTCATTTATGGCAGTTCTACGCCTCTTTTTGGTTCCTTCAAATGACATGGTGGTAAGAGGACGAGAGATGCGTATTTTTGGTGCCTCGGCTCCTTCACCACGAAGGGCTACCCACTCCTTCAGTTTCTCTGACCCTGTCACAAAGGAACTCTTGAGGGATGTAGCAAGAGTAAAAGACATAATAAACGCATGTATAATCTTGCCCAAAAGTTCTCTGCCAAAAGCTGATTATTACTACCCTCATGGATGAACATGCTAACATTCTATAACCCATATAAAATTCACAGCAGATTTTATGCAAAAACATCAAAATTCCCCAAGCACCACTGGAGATGCTTCACTCAGCAATTCAGGCACCTCAAAATTCACTAAGATCTAGTTTCCCATGGATTAGGTGTGTTATAGGCCCATGCACACTTATACAAGAACAACGGATCTTGAGTGGATGCATATAAATTTAAAGTCTTCAACATATATGCAATTAATTTGCCAGAAGAGTAAGACAACGAGATAATTGACTTCCAGTTATCCCCTTTAAAGTGATAAAAGAGCACATGCAACTTGCTCAAAAAGGCATAATATACTATCATTAAAGACAATAACTCACCTTCCCCTAATGTAAGATCGTTATAACTCACATAAGCCATTCCATCCCCGAAGTTTAAAACTTTTGCTAAGAACCAGGCAGCTTTAAACCCATCACCATCCTTCAAGATCTGCAAGAAGCAGCAGAAGATAATTACTCAATAACAACTTCAAGAGGAAGCCGTTGAATGGTGCATTATCTAAATTCGAAGTCATATGAAGTCAACTAATGTGATAACAATAACGTTGCCAAACCTCTACAGAAGACCCCTCTCTGATGCCAGTTCCTTCTGAAGTCCCAACTGCTTCTACTTGTTCAATTTCAGTATTGGTAGGAGATTTAGATCTACTTCCATCTTCCAAAACCACTTCCAAGGTTCTAGGGGTCTCAGAAGGTTTGTGAGCTTGGAGTCCCTTGGCACCCTTAACACCAGTAGCAACATGTGAGTTTACATGGTCATCACTAGACATCTCTCCCGGAGCAATTGATGATTTCTCATGGCTAACAGAAGCATCGCAAATTGCTCCACCACCATCACCACTCAAATTTCCAGCACGGACCTCATTTGATTTAGAAACAAGTTGAGGAGAAACTTCAGAAACTTTCCAGAAACCCTCGGGGCCTGCTGCTACTAACTCGCTCAAGGGCGAAGGATCACCCATATCTATGATTTTGCCAGCCTGAGAAACAGCTTCCGCAGCCAACTCTGCAGCTCTGATAATGGCATCCATATTCTCAGCCCGTTTTGATGCAGCAGATGCAGCTTCAACCCTCTTTCTAGCAGTCTCCCTTGCAGCAAAAATAATTGAACTGGAGCTACACATTCCATTGTCACGCTTCAATATGGATGCTGGAGTTGCATTTCCCATGTCATTAGAGAATGAGATCAAAGAGCTCTGACCATTATAAGTCCCAGAGGCAGCAGCTTCATCTGCCATTAGCCTAGCTTGCAGTGCAGCATTTGCTGCAACGTTAGCAGCCGCAGCTGCAGCTTTGGCAACAGCCGCAGCAGCAGCTATTGCAACAGCTGCAGAAGCCAGCTTTGCTTCCACATCAGGTGACAAGCCTGCATCTCTTTGCTTATCTAATTTACTCCATACTAGTTGGCTTTGACCAACAGCAGTAGCAGCAAAGGCAGCAGCATCCTCTGCATGCGCTCTAGCCTCTTTCACTTTACCAAGGGCCTCATCTGAAGAATTAGCCCTTTGCTCCACTATAGGGTCTTCTTTTCTGAAATTGGTAGTCAAAGGGGATGGAAATGCAGCAACCACTTCGGCAGGAGCTTTAGACACAGAGTCAACTGGGGTTATGATAGAAACAGATGTGGACAGATGACTGGAAACTGCTGCAGCAGTAATTAATTGTCTTGGAGGTTCCTGATGTAAACCTCTGTCCACATTGTCCTCAAGCGCCGAAGACTTCTTCCTTCTTCTAGGCTTTGGAGCAGTAGACTGCTGACTTGAAGTTATTGCCTTACCAACATCAGGAATGGAAGAATTAGGAAACACGTTACCAGAAGGAGCAGTGGGAGATGCTACAGTAGAAACATGCTTTACCGCATAGGTATGGGACACTGATGAATCTTTTACAGGAGTCAAGTGAACCGGCTCGGTATGAGGCATCTGTACAGGGAAACGACTACCAGTCTCGACCGCAGATGTTTGAGGAGAAGTGATCCAGGCACCGATCGGACCCTGAGAGATCCAAGGAGCGCTATGTGCTACCAGATTACTCATGGATGGGGTCTGATGAGGATGCAATGGAGAAAGTGCCCTCTGGAATTCCAGAACAGGACCCCTTGCTATGCTACTTGATTGCAAGTGATCCATGGAAGGAGTTGCCACATTCCAAAGTGGTGATGAAAGAGGTAGCATTGGGCTTGTAATTGCTGAGGCAGTTGCTTTACTGCTGGATCTACCACCAGTGGCCTTGCCTTTAGGTGTGCTTTGTTTACTAGTTTGTTCAGGAGCTCTCACACCTGCAGTTTCAGAAACATATTACTTAAAATGGTCACCGAATGAAAGGAACAATATGTATATAAGTTCCGAAGCAATGAAGGTACCAGAATAAGACTGCACAGGGGTCTCAGGAGTGCTGAGATGAGATCTTTGAGCATTAAGTCTTTCAACACACAAGCGCCAGTTTTTCTCCCAAGCCATCTTACCACCATCTGCAATCATAAACCAGTAGAAAATTCATTCAATTCTATCTTAGGGGAACATGTGACGGAGAAGCTTCTCAACAGGAAAACTAACCAGCTCCTCCAAATGCAGATATCATATATGCCTCCTCCGGAGCTGTTCCTTTACTGCATCAACATTTGCAAGGATAACCACAATATTAATCACTTATATCAGTTATTAATTTTGTTTTAAACTCATCTTGGTTTCTCCAATTTATTCACTTTGGTAGGTGTTAACATGCTGAGGGAGCTGCAGAATGTGTCAATTTATGAACATTAAGCCTTGAGTTTTCTCACTGTTTGTAAGGAAATTTCATAGAGAAGAACCCACATCAAATCTCCATATACGATGATTTGAGCACGTAATTGAACTTGTTGCATATCTGTGAATGGTTGTTGAAACAATGTGGTAGTGGCTGAAGAATTCAAATCTGGCAGACCAGGCATTGATACCCCGATAAACGGTTTAACACCACTGGTATCTACATGCCCAAAAAGCTGCATCTCATTGGAGTATACTTGATGACCAAGACCAGGTGAACCTGGAGGAATATTTGCATTGTTACCCCGTTCCACCTTCGCAGGTGCTGTCACCTTTGTGATCTTTCCTCTTTTAGCAGAGTCCTTACCAGTTGCCCTACTACGCCTTGGCTTACGCTCAGAATTTACTTTTTGGGCACTTTGTCGAACGGTTAAGTCAGAAACCTTAGGACTCTGATGAGAGAGATCTTGAACAATCTTGGCATCTAATTGGCCCAAACCAGAAGTCGAGGAGGGAGACCCATCCATAGGCTTAAAAAATAAAAAATAAAAACAGTCAAACGAGACTACCTGGATCAGAGTTCACGGAAAAATATGATACTACTATGGTACGGATCATATTATCTTTTCAGAAAAATGACAATATCATAACATACATCAGAATGGAAACTTCAGAATTATGATGGCCCAAAAGGATCCTTTACCGTGGGTACTTTCCTCTTGTCCGCTGTCTGCTCGCCCGGCATTTTCTTAGCACTTTCTGTTTGAGGCAATTCTGTAAATGGAGGGACCTGGATAGGCTTACAAAATCAAGAATAAAAAAGAAGGAATGATCAGAGGTCACAGAAAAACTGCTATACTACTATGGAATGACTGATCAAAAGATGTACAGAGAGAGCATATGACAACTAAAAAACATATCCAAATGAAAATGTTGGTATTAAGGTCTCAAAATAATACTTTACCATGGATACTTTGCTTGTCCCCACTGTCTGCACAACCTGCAATTTCTTGGCATTTTCTGTTTGGGGCGACTCGGTAAAAGAAGGAACCTGGAAAGTGAAGCTCCCGTCATCTTTTGTGGTAACATCCTTCTTGGACCTTTTAGAGGAAGACTTGTTGCCATCGCCTGAAGAAGTTGGAGTGCGGGGATGTGAAGATCTTTTAGTCTCCTCTGTTTGGTGCTGTACATCAGGCAGTGCTGTAGGCGATGCAACAGGCTGCTTCTCAGGATCAGCAGAAGTTGTCAAAAATTCTACTGCAGAAAACAAAATTATCAGATCTTCATGATGCATCCAGTATTCATAAGCAACAGGCCACATTCTAAGCCAAAACAAAGAAAAAAGTCCAGCAGTGACTAAAACTTTACCATTCTCACTTGCAACTGCATCCGATTTGTCATTCGTACCCACTGACAGCACAGCTTTGTTCTCTACGTGCGCCTTTTCAGTAGCATTTTGGCTAGAATCATTACTCTCTGAAAGTCCAACTTTAGCCATTGATTCTGCAACAAGGAAAATAATATGAAAGTGAAAACTTACACCAATGAATATCACTGCACAAATTATCCAAAGACTGTATCACAAACTATAACCTGCTGCATTTAACAAAGTCTTCTCCTCGGTTTCTCTAATAATTGAAGTATCATTTTCCTTGTTTGCGGACATATGAGGCTCAGAACATTCTTCCATCGCCTTTCTACACTCTCGACCATCCTCGTTCATTCGAACTACTTCAGATTCAATCTGGCCTTCATGAGTACAGTTGTCAACTGTCGGTAAAGACTGATCAGTAGTTACACTAAACATTTGTTCAGATGCACCAACAGGAACAATCCCTGATTCGTCGAGAGGATCGACAACAGTTGCACTTTCAGATGTCCTCAGTTCTGAGTTTGAGATCTCTTTTTCAGCTTCTTCGGCTGTTATGGCAGATTCCATGGCTGGTAATGAAGCCTCACTGTTACTGGGATCAGCACTTCCTACTGTATTTTATGATATATTAGCAGCTTCAGAAAAGCACAGAACTCATAAAAGAGGGGAAATGGAAAAGAAAAAGGGAGTAAGTTAGGGGTAGCATAATATGACCTCCTTGCAAGGAGGAGGGCTAGTCTTATACCTGTTTCATTGCCACCAGCTGCATCAACTGAGGATGCAATAACTCGAGCCTCGCCTTCTATGGCCACAACAGGCAAAGAACCAATATCCCTCTCAGTTGTGAGAGAACCATGAACGTCGTTGTTCACAGTAACACCATTAGAAGGATGATCTGAACTTGTATTTTGCTGAGTAGGAGAGTCTATTGAGCATCTATTGTCTCCATCATTTTCGGGCAGCACAACTGTCTCATGCCCTTGCGGAGTTTCAGCTGCCGAGGATGTCGGAGTACCTTCACTAACTTTTGCAGCAAGAAGATCAGAATCATCACTACCATGGGCAGAGGAGACCTCATATCTTTCAGTTGTATCAGCACAAGTTTCATTCTCCTCTGATATCAAATGTACCTCAGAGCTTGTGACAAAGCTACCTGCCTGCAACTGGAGAGCACTGTTGCTTGCATCCCTGACCTCAGTTGTCCTGCCATCCAAACTTCTTAACAATATACTTTCACTTCCTCTAGAAACTTCAGTAGCCTTTGTGTCTTCAGACATACCAACATCTGTCCTCAACGTACAAGATCCTTCCGCATTGCTTAAGTTACTGCTACGTACATTTGCCTCACTTTCATATTCCGCAGGGGTGGAGCAGACAGGATTCTGCAACTGTTCACCGCCAGCTTCAATGACAGTGACATCTGAAATCTCTTGGGTTTGACCAATTACACCCCCTTCACGCAAAGCATCACTTTCTTCTATTGGGTCACCAGCATCCATTGCAACCATACTTTTAACACCATCACTTGAATCTGTAATATGATTCAGGGCATTCTCGTCTTCTTTCCCGATTACACATTCTGTATCCACCATATCAACTTGCATTCCCGAAGCAACAGTTTCTTGTGTCCTTATAGCTAGAGATTCATAGACCACAGTATTAAACGCACTTTGACCAACACTATCACAGCTATTGTCAATGAACGGGCTCTCCACTGTAACAGGCAACCCACCCCCTGGACCAACATCCTGGGCCAGAGGAAGCTGACCCCGAACGTCAACAGGTGACCGAGACAATCCCTCATCAATGTCTAAAGGAGGGAGCATTGGCTTTACATCTGGAATATCTACAGTTCTATTTGGTAAATTACTATCCTGCTTCAAACTAGGTTCCATTTGGCTAATCATGCAACCCAGCTCATCACATGTATTTGACTTCTTAGCAATAGCTTGTCTGGGAACACTTTCTTCCTGTCCCACAGATCTTAGTAACATCTCAACAGATTCTGAGGAAGTAGCCTCAGACCAAACATTGTTCTGTCGTGAAATGCAACAAGACTCTGCTGCACTTGAAGTGAATTGTATTGCAGTGCTTCCTCGTGAATAATCTTCAATCCACTGGCTGTCTTCGTTGCTTTCAATGCCAAGGAAAACCTCGGTTTCTACTAAATTATCAAATCTTAATGGCCCATGAAGATTGTCATCAAATTCAAACTTAGGAAGAGCATATGGACGTAAACCCGGAGGAAACTTGTTGCTCCCTTCACCAGCTAAATGAAGATTCTGGCTTTGAAAATCACTGTCATCATAATCCATGGGTATATTCCTAATGATGATAAAAGCAGTGAAGTAAGTTCCAGGTGCTGCAGATACTACATAACAGAGTCACAACCATAAGCACAGCAGAAAAGTGTGTAGCACACATCATCATGCAGAGTCACGAATAGAGATTATAACACACTTCAATAAAGCTTACGAGAAATTCTTAATCCCCATCAGTGCACCTATCAGTCAAAAGAAGAAAATGTATTAACAGAAACTATACATTCTGTCCCCTGACATTTCCTACCTTCTCAGCTACCACCCCACTTAACTAGATTGAGATCTTATAACCTTATCAGTCTCAAAATATTCCAACGTCTGTTCATCAAAATGCAGCAGGAATAGTTCGCCTCGCTTTCCAAAGAACCAACCAGAAGAAAATAACTAAAAGCTTATATGATGGTTAAAAAGAAAAGGCCATAACATGTCCAAAGTTACAGTTTACAATTGCATTCATGAGGCTAGATACAGCCGTTGCAGACAGAAATTGCTTGCAACAAAGTTGCACGAGCGTACAAACCACTGATGGTAAATTAGTTCCTCCAAGAACTGCTGATTACTAGGCATATCAGCCACTGTAGCAGGAAATGCGAGACAGAAGACCAGAATACTAATACTCGTCCACAAAATAAATAAAAAAACTACAACAGCAGCCGAATCCATATCCCAGCCACCAATGGAAACACTACTTCAAACCCTAGTTCACTCCTAGAGAAACATTCAGCCAATTAGCCTGTTATCACAAAACTATTTGCACCAACTACCATGAAAATTTGACCCGGCTCCTCATAGTCATAACAATTTCAAAAGAGCTCAGACTTCAAACTAACAAGAGCACGACCCCCTACCCTAACTTCAAACTTCGACTTTACGAGTAAAGAAAAGGTGGGAAATGAAAAGTACCAGCAGCAGAACAAGTAAGTCTAGAGAGGCTACCTCCCTCCATCCGGCGATGAAATCCCAGGCCTCAAGTGTTCCCCAATCGTACGTTCATCTACACCTTCCGACCAAGACGGGCCACCGGAGAGAGCCACCCCACTACCAAGATTATTAGCCTTTCGAAAAGGTAAAAGGGAGGGAAAACCTAATCGAGCTGAAACCGTAGTACAGTACTGACGGACAAAATTCGTCTCCAGCCAGAGACTGTAGAGCTAGAGTGTCGAGTTCGTGCAGAAGGGGAGGTATCGAGTTAGGGTTCCGGCGAATCGAACGACACGGAGGTCAAGAAGCTCTGAAAGCAAGCAAGAAAACGACAGAGAAAAGAAGGGAGTGAGTGTGAGGGAAGGAAGAAAAAAAGGAAAATTAGTGTCCTTTTAGTTCTTTGTCAGTAGCTAGCGCCTTCTTCGTTTTTTTTTTTTTTTTCTTTTCCCCCCCTTCCTTTCACACTTCTATTTTTAGAGTTCAAAGTTCGAATAGTTAAAATTCCATGTGGACCACAACATCGCCTGAAGCCCTCAACAAATAATTTGAAAGATTTTATCATTTTTGTTATTTTGTTTGGTTTATGTACAAATTGATAGTATAGGTAAGAAAATATTAAAATAGTGGCAATGGATGAAATATAAATTAAACATGGGATCATGTAAACTTGACTCTTTTTTCATCATGTCATATTCATACATAACATACAAATCTTAAGGTATTTGATTTAATTATTTTAGAGTTTAGTTTGGGGTTCAACTATTTAGAATGATAAATGAGTGAGCTCTCTAAAATAGAGAGCTCACTGGTGAGCTAATTGATTAGCCGAACTCGAGTAGTGCTTGTGACCTTATTAATTAGTCTAGCATGAGCTAAGATTTTAGTAAACGAGTCAAGGTTGAACTATTTATTGATGGACATATCTCAAACTAAGTAACATCCAACTCGACTCTATTCATTTGCAGACGTATGGCTACGTTGAGTTGTGGTAAACTCCACATAATTGTACTTGGTGTCTGGTGTGTAAGTTTTCGATCAATCAAAATAATGGTTAGGTCAACCACTTGACTAATTATGCTGACTGCATGGCCCATCTAGTTGATCACATAGTTACATAGATCACATTGTCGACTACATTTACAATTAGGTCGACCACATTGTCGATTAGATAGATCACATTGTCGACTAGGTTGATCACTTCCTCTTCTATAAATATACTAATGTGTCGTTTGGTGGTTGAGATTCAAGTGATGTATTTAGCCAATACATACAATGTTAAAATTAAGTCTTTTTTTTTTTGTTAAATTTGTGATAGAATACATGTATTACCTTTTACGGGTCCATCTAAAATTACTCAAAATGAGTGATTATCAATCTCTACCAATAGATGAGATTGTTAACAAAGGATTTTCTACTCAATATTTGTTTTCCATCTTTGCCCCTACATTTTTTTTTATTTCAATATTACTCTCATCTACATCCCATCTCTATATAATAAATGAAGGGAAAAGAGGTCATTGATTGTGAAAAGTGTACTATTTCTTATTTATAACAAAAACACAATTTAAATCTCCAAATAAAAGTATTTTTAAAATTCATACATTTAATTAATGCATCAAATAACAATACACAAATTGATTAAATACATCAATTTAGAGAATCAACCCTACGTACCATGGATGAACAATTAGATGGTCACCGTACACCAAATAACATGGATGGTATCCATGTTGTTGCATGGAACCATCCACTTTAAGTTTGGATGGTGTCCATTATATTTGGGTGGTGTCCCTGGATAGTACCATCCACCATAGGGTTTGGACGGTGTCCATGACGTTGGACGCTACCATCCATAATGGGATTTGGATGGTATCCATGTTGTTGGACACTATCATCCATAATGGAATTTGGATGATATCCATGTTATTGGACACTACCATCCAAAATGGGATTTGGATGGTATCCATGTTGTTGGACACTACCATCCATAATGAAATTTGGATGATATCCATGATGTTGGACACTACCATCCTTTAATCCTACGACCCAACTTGATAAATTGGATCATCCATGTACACATGGACCATCTACTTAAATTGGTCAAACTGTTCATACATGTAATAATTAATGAAAATTATTTTGGTGTAAACAAATGCCCTCCACAACTTAGTCATAAGAAATTATGGACTAAGTTGTGACACCAACTGTATTAGATGCGCAATCACTTGAAGCAGATGTTGGCTTTATGTAGCCATGTCTCCAAATCATAAAAGGAATTGAATTCCTTACTGGCCAGGTAAACGAAACACACAAAGAGGGTGTCCCTCTCCAACTCGGCTAATAATACAATTTTTAGCCAAATAACGTGGCCTACTTTTCCCTTTTTTGATAAGGAACACAAATTCTTTTTCATGTAGGACACATCCTCTTAACCTATATCCTACTAGTAAAAGGAAACACATTCCTTGAAGGACACAACTAATCTTTTTCTCTAAAAATTGATGCTCCCATCCATCATAATTCATAACTCGAAAACTATCACCGTACCTCTAAAGTTGTGTGATGCTTCACCACTGCAAGTCTCCTGCTCCATTAGCTAGGTATGCGACCAGTTTATGATGTTATTTAGCTTGGCCACTTTTGTAGATTGGCATTCACGTGTAGCTTTATATGACCCCTTCATGTATTTTTTTATTTTTATTTTTTACAACAATGAAGATGACCGCACACCTCATTGCTCCCCTCCTTTTCTTAATTTGCGGCGGTCATCCATCTTGTAATGACCATTATTAATTTTTTTTAGGTCGTGTCAAGCTTGGCAGAAGCAAAGAAATTCTTTGTAAGTCTGAATGAGAATGGATCTAGTCTAGCCCTGCATTCCTCCAATGATCCACTCACTAGCGCTCTTGCTACCATTGATCAATTCCTCTCTCTCCAAGTGGATGAAGCTGCTAACACTCCAGAGACCAACTGGCCCGATGCGACCTTAAAGTTGTTGGAGACTATTCCCACCGACGAGATACCATTAGGATTTGACCTTAACGACATGCAACTGCGGCAACAAACTGGTTCACAAGTTCGAGCATGTCTCGTAAGTGCGTAAAAAGCAAACCTACAACAAAAGGAGTATGGGGATAAGGAAGTAGCACTTCAAGACACCAACAAATCCCTTCAGGTCAACATGAAAAAATTCAACACCACATCCTCCGAGCTTACTTCCTATGCGCAACAACATGAAGCTATACAATAAGGGATCTGCTCTCGCAAAGAAAGGATAGCCAAGTTACAGGAGGAGATGGCGAAAGCTGCAAGGGGAGGTGTAGTCTTTGCAGAAATACATGGACAATGGTCAAGCTCAACATGCTCAACTGGAGGCGACCATCCCTGCCCTTTTAGCCGAGACCAAATTTTTGGTTATGCAAAAAGCGGCGTTGGCTGATGATCGACTTGCGATCCACAAGTTAGAGGCCACTCAATTGCATCAGGCTGCAAGCAATGCCTTTATTCTCTTGCGAACCAAGCTATTCAACATCGCTAAACGTCTCAACGACTGATCACCTCTTGGAGTGGAGCGACATCATTCATCCATGTTCCATACCATCATAGCTTTCTTTTGTTTACTTTTAGTTCTTTTGGAAGCCTGGTCTTTGTATGGCTTCGAACTCTCGGATTTTTCTTACTTTGCATTGTCGGAAACATTAACCAATACTTGGTCTTTATATTATGTCGAAATTATTTTGTTTGATGACTATCCCTTCCTTCTCAACCATAGATGGTTACTCGACCAAACTCAATCACTATCCATGCAACCACTTAACCAAACCATAGTTACAAATTACTTAAGGCCAACCATACTTGGCTTCTAGTAACATGGATAGTACAATCTATCCAGAAGGTGGCAAGGTAACCATGTTTTGACCCTTCTGCTTCCGAGATAGAAAAACAAACCCCTTTTAATGGCCAATCCATAAAGGATTTATCCTGGCTATCTCACTCCTCGGCCATGTTTCACATCTTATAAACCATGTCAACCTTGACTAGGTCATCATGTGCACTAGGCCAATTTCTAAATCATTGAAATTCCTTAACATCCCAAAGGGACTGTATGTATGGCTAAGGTACTTGTCATTAATTAAGCGCTCATGTTGTACACCATCCGAATCTTTCAATAAGTAAGCACCATTGGGACGTACAACATGAACAATAAAGGGACCTCGCCAATTAGGAGACCACTTACCAAATTTTGGATCTTTTTCATCAATTGGCAAATGCAACTTCCATACTAACTCTCCTTCCTCGAACAACTTATGCTTTACCTTTTTGTTGTATGCCCTAGCCACTCTGTCCTTTTGTACCTGGATGTTATCAAGAGCTTGAAGTTGTAGCTCATCCAGTTCAAACAAGTCGAGCATCATTGACTCATAATACTCAGAAGCAATGCAGTCAAAAGCGCGGTTCTACCTAGAAGCGCTTGGGTGACCTAGAAGCGCAAAACTGTAAGCTTTTAAGTTTTAAAGCATAGATTTTGGCTACATTTGTAAGAGAAATCACGATTCTACATAGAAGCGTTTTGGTGACCTAAAAAGGTAAAAGCGTAAACTTTTAAGTTTTAAAGCGCGATTTTGACAGCATTGCTCAGAAGGAGTCAATTCATGTTGCTTCATGTATCATAGAGACTTTACCATTATCTTAGCCGGCAAGAAAGCCTCATGACCATATGTCAAAGAGAAAGGAGTCACTCTCGTACTACTATGGGGTGACATTCTATAGGCCCATACCGCCTCTGATAGCACCTCATGCCAATTCCTTGGATTGTCCTCAATCTTTTTGGACAAGATCCCTTTTTCCACCTTATTGGATGCTTCCGCTTGACCATTGGCTTGAGCATAATAAGGTGTGGAGTGGATTATCTTAATGCCATGATCTTTGGCAAACTCCATTACCTGTGTTCCAGTGAAAATTGTCCCTTGATCGGCTGTTATAGTGGCTGGCAAACCAAAACGATGAATAATGTGTTCCTTGATAAAAGAAATCACCTCCCCCTGGTTCACCGTCTTCATTAGTTTTGCCTCTACCCACTTTATAAAATCATCAGTAGCCACAATGATAAAGATATGTTGCTTAGATGATGGGGGATAGACTTGTCTAATCAGATCCATTGCCCAACCAAAGAATGGTTGGGGCTTCATAATAGATCTCAAATCAATGGCAGGTGCCCTTTGCACTAGTCCATGACGTTGGCAAGCAGCACATCCCTTAGCAAATGCTGCACAATCAGGTCCAATAGTTGGCCAGTAGTATCCATATCGATGTAGTATCCACCTCATGGATAGACCAGCTTGATGTG